GAAGATTGCAACCAATGTCATGAAACAAAATGTGTATGAACTGTTGAATGGAAAATGAATTTTCTCTGTAAACATTCACGCAAATGACAATTAAAAAAATATGAATTCCAGTGAATGGTAAATAGCTAAATAGTAGCCAAAACAAAAGATAAATCAAAACTTTCATTTCTGTTTGAGTGTTCCATATGTGTTTCAGCCATACAATAAGCCAAAGAAGCTAAGTAATAACATGTTCTAAACTGGTGTCTGTTTCCTTGGATCTTCTTCAAAGTTCATTTGCGAAGGAGCAATGGTGTGGATCGTGACCTTTTGTACAAATAGTTCTGTCTTAAGGAGATTAAATTTACTTCCCCATCTTCAAATTCAAAGATCCAAAGCGGTCTCCTCAGCAACCTTCTGGCTTTGGAATGATGCTAATTGCACCATAGAAAAGGAAAGGAGATGATTTTTGGAGGAACCAAAAATATACTATTTGGCTGGAGGAGGGTGACAAAAATCATTACTTTTAAATTTTACAAAGAAGGTAATTTATAATCTTTACAAATGATAACTGATGGAAAACAATGAGTTTAATTTTTGGCAAAGATATTTTAAGATTTTCACAAACTTCTTGGATAATTCACACATTCAAAGATTCAGGGAAAAAAAAAAATTAAGATTACTCAAAGGAGAACATACAGCAATTTATTGGATCCTCATCACTTCCATCCAAGCAGTCATCATCACCATCACATTTCCACCGAGCTTGGATACAATGTCTGTTTTTGCAGCGAAATTCTCCAGTTTTACACGTATGAGGTAATGCTTCTCCAGGATTAACTAGGGTTAAAAAAAATATCCAAGATATATGAAAAATATTATCTAAAACAATGTATTACACTGTAAATTGTGTTATACAAACAAAAAATTACTTCATTTTACTTTAGAAAATATGAAAACTTCTTAACATTGTAGTGAAAGCTATCTCAGGAATGAGAAAATTTCTGTCAATAATTATTCCACTAAGAATTTTAAAGATTTTTTCTAAACAGCTGTGACCAAAATATTAATACCAATACTAATAATATAATATTACCTTATATTTATATTGAGTTTATAATTTTACTTTTAAAAGGATTTTTATTTATAATCTCAATTGATCACCAGAATAATGCATAGTTAGCCATGCTAAGGAATTATTACTTTCATTTTATAGAAGATTTCACTGAGAATTAAAGGGAAAAAAAAAAAAAAAAAGGAACAGCACACAGAAATGATGGTTAGATTAACTTTACTAATCTTCCAGTGGGAGGAAAAACTCAGGTCCAGTTGAGGGTTGAAGAAAGAATCGAATAATCCAAAAATATCATTGTTAT